ACACACACACATATATACATACATACATATATATATACATACACACACATACACACGTCACTGTCTCACCCTGTGTGTTGGACCTCTGGTGCAGGTACGTGATGAGTTTGCTCCTCATGTCCTGGTCTCCAGCCAGAGTGAAGGTGTAGGACAGCAGGGCCGTGGTGTACAGGTTGTCCAGCTGGCCCCCCACGGCTTCCTTCAGACAGTTCAGGCAGCTCTGTACCATGGGGTCCTGAGACAGCGCAGGCAAACACAAAGATGAGACAATGTGCAGGAGAATATGCAGAAGGGAGACAACTGAAACAATAATCAAACTATTTCTCTGCAGGTTTACAGAAAACAGATGTGCTTTAAGGTTTTGGCAATTCTCACCGATAAATACAGTCCCTAAGACAGACTATATAAAGCTGACGAGATACTCAGGAACACGTGCTGATGTCTCTGAGAGGCAGCACTCAATATACTATATCACTTGTAAACAGAAAATTAAACAGAAAAAATGGATCATGCATTTCTTTCTTTGATCTCTTGTCTAAAAAATACAATTCTATTAAATGCCATTTATTTAACACAAACATGAGATCCTGGCTGCGGAAAATAGCTGGCACAAATCTCTCCGTGTTGGCAGTCCGAGAATATAAAAGCGAGCTTTAATTTTCCAGAGTCTAAGGTGAGCATGTCTGAGGAGGAGGAGGAGGAGGAGGAGGAGGAGTGCTTCATCAGACTCACCGTGACGTTGGCGTCCAGCTCCAGCAGGGCAGCGGTGATGTAGGCCGTCAGGGACACGTCGTCACTCACTCCTCCCTGTCGGAAACAGGAGCACAGCGAACACAACAGTGACATCTAAGGTGTAATTGTTTCTGTTATGTTGTAGACTATATATTAATACTTTTAGGGGTTTTTAATTTTACTACAAATCTTTGTTGTTTGTTTTACCTTTTATCAAATCTACTGGTCTTATTGTGCTGTTTGTTCTCCACGATGTTACAATTCAGACATTACAAAGCTCAAAGTCTGTAACAATGTTAATACAGTATAATATTTTGAAACCTCCTTACATTAAACTCTCTAACCCTAACCCTAACCCTAACCAGTCACTGGTAGCGAGTACTGGCACTGAATTTTGTCTGCGTGAGTACCCTTACTTCTTATTGATTACCACCACCTCTAGTGAAGTCACCATGGTAAGGAGCTCAGTATATTTTCCGAGGGGTATACAATAGAAGTTGTGAAATGCCTAAAGATAACTACTTTGATGGTGAGGTACTGTGTCTCTGTGTAAACACAGCTAGCTTAAGAAAACACCGACAGTAGTAGCATGACCTTCACATATCGCCATCTACCTGTTTTTTGCTTTTTGTTTTTTTTTAAATTAAAAAAAAGTTTTCTGTCACTGAAAACCCCAATAAAAACAGTATTGGGATTGTCCTTGTTAAAAAGGATAAACACCACAAAATGAGGGTTATGTTGTGCTAAATTAAGGCACTGGCACCTTTTTTGGTCCAATTCAGGCACCGTCTCTTACCCTTTTGTAACTCCTATTACCGTCCTCCCCACATCATAAATTTTCCATGAGAGTTGTATATATTTAACCTTATTTATTTATTTATTATTGGGGGAATGTAATGACTTTATTAGTGAGAATGATGGGAGAGAGAAGGGGAATGAAGAGGGACGTGCATAGAGCTGAAACAAAAAGTCTATTTATCAATAGAAAGAAAATTGAGAATTGATTATCAAAACAGTTGGCAAGCTAAGTAAATTAAGAGTGTTTGGGTTTTGGACTGCTGGTTGGACAACAGAAGCTTTTTGAAGATGTCACTTTGGGCTCTGGGAAATTGTGATGAGCGACGTTTTATAGAATAAATGATGAACAGATTCATCATAAAAATATTAAGTAGACTGAGCAATAAAGAAAATATCAATATCAATAACTTATGTCATTAGTAGCAGCACTGAACATACAAATATCATATATCAAGCTACGGTCAATCCGATTCAAGGTTAAACCTTAAACCCAAAGGCCACCAGGACACTCTTTTCATCAACAGATATTCATTATTATGTGTTTGAGGCTCTGTTAACATAGAACAATGTGTGAAACTCCACAGCATCACTGAGCACTAAACATGCATGTTTTCACTGAGTGGCATAATTGATTCAGTTACGGCTGATTGGAGGCAATCACTGTGTGAATGTGGCACGCAGTGTTAAAGTGCTTTGAGTGGTC